ATTATATTTAAGTATGTATATGTATATTTTAAGATTCAAATATATTCAAATATACAATATATTTAAAATATTTTAATAATATATAATATTTTATAATATATAATATTTTATTTATATTTGTAAGTATTAAGTAAATAATAATAATTTATTTTCTATAGCATAATATTGAAAAACTTGATAATAGAGGAAGAACACCATTGATGTTAGCTGTGACTTTGGGTCACATTGAATCTGTTGGAGTATTATTGCAACATGAAGCTAATGTTAATACAGAAAATACTCAAGGATGGACTGGTACTAATCATAATTTTATTTAATAAAATATCAAATTAATTAATATTATAATTTTAATTTTATTATTATTATAGTGGTACAAGAGGCAGTTGGTACAGGAAATCCTGAATTAATACAAATGGTGTTAGCACATAGAGATTATCAAAGATATTGTAATCGGGTAGCTGGTATTCCAGAATTGCTTCATAAACTTAAACAAGTGAGTTTATATAAAAGTTTATATAAATATTTTTTATGAGCATTATGAAAATTTTCTAGCATTTCCATTAAACAAATATTCATGAATAGAATTTTTTCTTTTTATTTTTTAAATAAGATAATATGAAATATAAATAATAAATCAAAAAGTTCAAAAATATTTATGAAACATTTGTAAAACATTTGATAGATAAAAATCTTGATATCTATAAATTAAAAAAATAATATATATTATTTATAATAATAAAATAATATATATATAAATTAAAAAATATTTTTTCAGGCTCCTGATTTTTATGTAGAAATGAAATGGGAATTTACTAGTTGGGGTAATTATAGATTTTATAACTTTTTCATTGTCTTTAATTATAAATATTAAATTAAATTAATGTTTTATTTATTATTAGTTCCTCTTGCCTCTAGAATATGTCCTAGTGATACTTATAAAGTATATAAACAAGGCAGTAATGTGCGAATTGATACAACTTTATTAGGATTTGATCATACAAAATGGCAACGTGGAAATCGTAGTTATGTTTTCAAAGGACAAAGTGAGTAATTGAATATAATTTTTTGCATGAACATTAATATAAATTTATTTTAATCTTCAGGTTTTTTTTGTGTCTTTTTCTTTTATATTAATAGTAGAGTTTTTTATTTATTCTTTAATTGTATATATTAAATGCAAGCTGCATCACATGTACCTGTGGCAATTAGATGTGAACGGAGTTATGTGTTCAGTATGGTTGGACAAGAGTCAGGTGACAGAATTACTTTTAAAATTAAATTGTCATATGCAGAATTATAGAAAATATAAAAATATAATAAAATATCTCTGTAAAATAGGAAAATTTTCTATTTCTTATTATATACATATTTATTTGTATGTTTCTATTTCTTATAATTTTCTTGTAATTTTATTACTTTTATTATTTTTTAAAAAGCTGATATAATAAATTGAAACTTTAAATGGTAAGTGTAATTGATATTGTAGTAAAAATAATTACTATTAATATGTTATTTATATCTATATGTTTTTTATGAATAATTTAATATAATAACAAATTTGAAAAGTTTTAATTAAAATTGCTGTAATTAATAATAAGAAATTTTAAATTTAAGTAGAAAATTATTTGAATAAATCTTTTTAAATATATTTTTTTATAAATATTATAATTTAATAATAATTAAATTTATTTATACAGATGATGGAGCAACAATGATGGAAGTAGATCACAAAACAAGAAAAGTATATGTCGAGCACATTAAACTCGTAGATATTGATGATATGCAATTAATGGAACCTTCTGAAGAAGGAGTATTAGCTCGACTTACAAATCCAATAGTTACTACATATATAGATACAGATAAAATTAGTTTTGAACGGTAATTGTTCTTCTTTATTATTCCCATTAGTATATATATATTCATTAATAATTATTTATGTTTAATTAGTAATAAAGCTGGTTTATGGGGATGGCGCTCTGATAAAAGTGAAGTAGTTAATGGACATGAGTGTAAAGTGTTTAGTGCATGTAATGTAGAATTAATAACGAAAACTCGATTAGAACATTTATCTGAACCTGATAAGGCACGGGCTCGTGCACCTCGTACACCTCTTCAATCATTTCTTGGTATGGCTGAACAGCAGCAAGAGAACAGTAATAACGCAACTACTAGTGTAATTTTCTTTTCTTATACATTTTTCTATATATATAATGTGCAATAACAAAATTCATTTATCATTCGTTTTTAGGAAGAATATAATAATATTGGAAATCCTTCTAATATAACAGCTGAAGAATATTTTGATCCAGATGTTGATTTAAATGGAAGAGATATAGGTAGACCAAAAGAAGTTAATACAAAAATTCAAAAATTTAAGGTATTATAATGAAACATTATTAGCAATATCTAAAAAATCTAAATCTACTAGTTATGTTTGTATATATAATGAATATAATCAAATATAAAACAATAGGCAACTTTATGGCTTAGTGAACAATATCCATTAAGTCTTCAAGAACAAATTATGCCAATTGTTGATCTTATGGCGATATCTAGTTCACATTTTGCAAAACTAAAGGATTTTATCCAAATGCAACTACCAGCTGGATTTCCTGTTAAAATTGGTTAGCTTTAAATTGTTTTTATTTATTTTTTTTAATATAAATTATAGTTTTTAAGTATTCGAATTTTTTTTATAGAAATTCCTTTATTTCATATATTAAATGCAAGAATAACATTTGGGAATATTTTTGGTATGGACCAAGAAGTACCTCATGTAGGACATTTACAAGAAACTAATAGAATGACTTGTTTAGTTGATGATATTTGTTTTGAAGCGCCAATGGGATATGTAAAACTAGGTAAGTTCAATATTTATTAAACAATATTTATTATAAATTTAAATAAAAATATTCATAATTTATATTTTTATTATTTTGTTCTTAAAGGCATTTATTTATTTGATGAAACTCTTTTATTGTCACAACATTAATATAATTGTAATTATTTATTTAGCAGGTGCTGAAGTTCGAACACAATTTAGTATGGAAGAAGAGGACGATCTATTACAATTTGCTATTCAACAAAGTTTATTAGAAGTTGGAAGTGAACGTGATGAGGTAGAGATATTTAAAATTTTTATATTTTTATATTTTATTAAAAAATATTTTCTTAATAAAAATAAATTCTTATAATTTAATATCATTTATTAAGGTTGATATATGGGAAGCCTTAAGAGCGCAGAAACCATCACGACCTACTACGCCTAATATGACTACTGAAGAAGAAAGGCAGCTACAAAGGTATGAAAATATGGTGTTTATTATTACGAATATTATTTTAGATATTTTGTTTTTATTTTAAAAGTTCTAAAATTTTATTTTGCATGTGTTCTTGCTCAGCAATTAAAATTCAGAAAGGTGGGTGATAGATTGCTATAAATATTAGATGCATAATAAATTAACAATATGTATATATATATGTAAATATTTTTACAGAAAATTCAAGGAATTGTAGCAGATATTAAAAAAAAAATCTAATTTATTTTGATATTTTATTTTTTTTTATATATTACATATTTTTTTAGTACATATTAATGTACATATAGAATATTATTATTAGGAAATTTTTTTTTAATAAGTAATTGCAAATTTTTATCCTTTCTTTCTCTCTCATATGTAAAACAGAGCTATACAGGCAAGTTTGGCGCTTTGTCAAGATAATACTACTGGATGTGCGAGCGGTCGAAATAACACGGATAAAACAAATGACTTAGAAAACAGTGACTCGCTCGAAGATACAGCGGAACAATTAAGACTGGCTTTAAGACTTTCGGAATTACAACAGTTAGAAGAAGAACAGCGTCGATTATTAGAAGAAGAAACGTTTCGACAAGTGTTGGAATTATCTCTTACAGACAAATGAATGTGCAATAGTCACTGCAAATTTGATCAAATTATACTTCCACGACTACATGAAATCTTCCAAAAGCATGACTATTAAACGCGAAATCATTTCCTACAATTCATAAGACGCATTAAATAAACCTGTTGTTTACAACAGTCATTTGTTATAATATATATAAATAGTTAAAATATGTATAATTACACACCATACACACGCGCGCGCGTGTGTATATGTGTATATATATATATATATATATATATATATATATCGAATGGTGGAGATAATATAACATTAACTATGAAAGTAAATAATTTAAATTATGTTATTTATTTCTTAGCTACATTTTATATGAATTAAAAAATTGAATAGTATGGAGAAATACATAGTATATTATGCATAATACTCAGAAGTCTTGAAAATTACAATTGCTCTAATAGAAAAGTCAGAATATTTCTGGCTCTCCAAATTATATTCGAATTAAATGATATTAAATAAATAGAGATAAATTCTTACTGAAAGTATTGTAAGTTACGACTATGTCAATATTTCAAATAAAAAGCTTGTAATTCTCAAGTCTTCGATGATTATCTGTTTTATCCTTTTTCCTAATAATTAGATTCGAATTTTCAAAAATTTCTAGTATCAAAATTTAGGGATATATATCAAGTTAATATTTTATCGAATAATATACTAACAAAACTGCCTATTAATGTTCAGGCAATTAAAACTATTCCAAGTTCCTTTTTATACCCGTGATAAAATAATTGTAAGTAGCATTTCAATTTATTAAAAATAGTAGTGATATAACAAAAATGTATTATTTATTTCTTGTAGTTTATGCATTGTAGATAAGTAATTTTGTTGGAATGTTTAGTACAAATTAAGTATATGAAATAAAAAAAATTATTAATTAATTTATTGTCAGAATACCAATAATTTATCAAGAGACAAATGTAATAATTACATATCATTCTGTAAAAATTTCTATTTCAAAATTGAATTATTACTTAAAACAGAATCTTTTTTATAAATGAAATAATTGGTCATAATGAAATGTAATTGTAGTATAATTGTAGTATATTATTAATATTGTAATAAAAAGGTATATTTCTACAAGTAGTATATAACAAGTATAAGTGTACAAAATAAAATATGTAGAAAAAGTGTGAAAAAAAATATTTATATAACATAAGAAAAAAATTATATTTATTACTAATAGATGATAGTAATTAATTTGTCAGATAATAATTCATTCAAATTCTGATTGTGCCCTGAAAGAAAAAGAAATAATGTTTTTATAATTATAATTACGTTTCATAGTATAAAATATCATTTGAACAATATTTTTGTGTTATTTATATTCGTTCAAATAATTTGAAGATATTTAATATGTACCTCTTAAATATAGTATTTAATATATTTGCACTTTGTGTGAAACGTTGTTCATTCTTATATGCTTGTTGATACCATTTTTTGCGTACAGCATTCCAATGTACTCTGTGTTCTCTTAATAACATTTCTCGTGATTTTAGAGTTTGTCCGTCCTGGAATATATTATGAATATATATATTTACAAATTTATGATGTATTGGTTAAATCATCTTATAAAAATAGATAAAATAGGAAGATTTATTAACATAAATATCTTACATAATCTAAATTCAATTCCTCTTTTTCTCTAATTATTGGTGAGGGTATACGATTTCTAGGTATAGCTTCTTCACAAGGTAATGGAGGTGGCAAATAATAAACATCACGAACTTCTCCATTACTATCTAATATATTATTACTTATATTAACTTCATTTAATATCTCTGGACTTGGACTACGTATTCTAAACAAAAAAGTACACAATTTTTTTTCATATTATTTTTTTTATCTTAAAATATATATAATAAATCATTAAAATAATTTCTTCTACAACATAATTAATGCTTATAATTAATACTTATAATTATGTTAAAATTAGCATTAACTTTGTATTGGCATATTCTTTCTATTAAATACATATAGTAACACAATAATTTATATTATATAAAAATTTTTTTAAAAATTCATTATAAATATTTATTTTTAAGATATATAATTAAATGTTCAAATAAAAATTATATTTTATATAACTTTTATATTTTTAATTATTTTGCAATATAATAATAAAAATTAATTACTTATTAAGGTAATCAAAAAATTTTATATGCCATTATAGAATTAACACATATGAAACAATATTAAAATTGAATATTAATAAAACTGTTATATATATATATAAAATGAATATATATAAAAATGAATAATATTTGAATATTTATAATTTTTTTATTGTTTTTTATTACTTACTTCGGAACAAGATTAGGATTTCTTGGTTGATTTGCCATCCATGCTCTACATATAGGATAAAGTGGTGTATCTTCTTGAAACTGTGCTAAATCAACACTTCTATCAAATAATTTCATTACATAAGTATGATGAAATGCAGTATCCATTTGCACTTGTCTACGACGTCTTACTTTACGTGGTTGTTGAAAACCCATTGATTTTGTTCTATATATGTTATCACTATATAAAAATTCATTATTTAATGATTTATAATAAATACATAAAAGAAATAATGCATATTAAAAATTACATTTTTTTTATTTGATGTTTATAGTCTTGTGTAGAACTCTCTTCACTTGAATCTGCTGATGATCCTGTATCACTATGTTGTAATAATTCTCTGAGAGCTCCTTTTAAACGATCTCTTGCAACAAGTACATCGCTATCTCCTATAGAATAAAATATACTTTATTATTAATTATTACACACATTAATGTAATATTCTATTTATTACTAATGAAATTATGAAATATAAGTAAGTTTTTGTTACCTAATTCATCTTTTATTTCTACCTTTACACGACCGGGTATTGGCACAGGTGGTTGTTGATTGTTTCTTTTTTTTCCCATCTAAATTATAAAACAATTAGCATATTTATATAAATTTTTAATATTCAATAATAATTTTTTAAATTTTTATAATATTATATATTATTTTATTACAAACCTTTCACGTTGATTTTAATTTACTTGTATATTAAATAATATAAATCATATTTCTTTTGGAGATAAAAATTATGTATAATTATTATTACTAAAGAAAGATAAATTATTATTTATTTATTTATTTATTAATATATATGTATCATTGAGAATTTGAAAGAATGAGGTTAGAATATTAAGTATAATTTAAATATATAATTTTGTTTGATATCAATGAAAATTAAGTAATTTTTATTATATTTTCAATTTTATTTTTTATTTTCAATTTTTTCGAATAAAAGTTATATTATGTTAATTAGAACTAATAATTATTATAAAAACACAAATCAAACGATCTCCAATAATTTTATGCATTTAACGAACTCGATAATTTCTTTTTCAGAGGTAAAGTATACTTTATTATCAGTTAATTCAATATATTGATATATTTGTATTAATAATATCATTGATATATTTTAATTTTCAAATTTTTATAACTTTATTCTTATTACATCTTATATTTTTATTTTAATTATTATTTTAGTTTGGTTATATATGTTTTTATAACACGTTTTAAATTTGTTTAAATTTTAAAAAAGATTTATAAGATTATATTGCAACAAAAAATAGAAATATGATTTTAATTGAATTTATTGTTTTATATAAATATATGTTAAAAAAAAAAATAATAAATAATAGGAATAGTTGTATATTTTACAAATTTTTAGAATTTGAAAGTTAAATCATTTTAAATAATCATTTTAAATTTATATAAATTAACTGTTTTTTTAAAATAAATCTTTAAAAAAAGAATTTTCAACATGTGGAAATTTAATTTTTCAATAATATTGAATATTTTAAAGTGAATATAATTTTTATGTATATATAATATATTTTAGATTGTTGAAAACAAATAAAAAGATGCAGTGGTTATTAAATATTCAAATACTTTTAATTATTAATGCAATAAATGTAATATTCACATTTACACATAATTGTGTTTTGCATAATAAAGATTATAGATGTAAACTAGGAACAAAGACACCATATAGATTTATATCAAATAATAATGATTCTCCTCTTGAATATTCAGGTAATATTAAATTGAATATGATTAAAGTATTATTCTTTTTTTATTCTATTAATAACAAACTTTTATCAAAATTAAATTATAGGTTGTATTTCAAAAAAAATATGGTTGCTTTTAAGACATGGTACAAGATATCCTGGTAAAAAATATGCATCATCTATGATTGAGTATTTGCCAAAATTAAAAAAAATTATTCTAGATAACTATAAAGAAAATAAAACAAAATTTACAAAAGAGGAAGCAGTTTTATTTAAAGAATGGAAAATTAATTTTAGCAAAGATAATATCATGAAATTAACAGAAGAAGGTGAAGATGAAATGATCGATATTGGAGAAAGATATCAATCCAGATTTCCTAATCTTATGCCAGAAATATATAATAATCAAACTTATAAGGTAAATAATAATATATATTTTTTATTTTTAATATATTTTCTTAATTAAGAATTAATTTTAGTTTAAATACACTGCTACTCAACGCACAGAAGAAAGTGCTAAAAATTTTGTTATTGGTTTATTTGGAAGATACAATAGTTATCAAGTTCAATATCCAAAAGCAGAACATAAGGATCCTATATTAAGAGTAATTTATAATTATGTAATTTAATAATTATATGATCTTCTATTATATGATGATTTTTTAAGTTTCTAGTTTTATAAACGTTGCGAACGTTGGCGTTCTGAAATTGACAAAAACCCAAATTCGCGCGTAGAAAAAGACAAATTTTTGAAAAGTGAAATTTATAAGAAAATGTTAGATGATGTTTCTACACGTATTGGTTATCAAATTAATCACGGTATGCAGAATATATTGCAATTGATTTTAAAACATGAAAAAAAAATATATCATAAAAAAAAAATATTTATATTTCAGAAAATATATATTTAATGTATTTGATGTGTGGATTTGAAACAGCATGGAATAAAAATTTTGAATCACCATGGTGTAAAGTATTTTCATTGAATGACTTCAAGGTATATTTTTAAATTTGATTTAAATTTATTAAATTTATTGAATTTGTTAACTTTAACTATTAATTGATATTTTATTAGATACTTGAATTTGCTGATGATTTGGAATATTATTGGAATGATGGATATGGCTATAAATTATCTTATGAGCAAGCATGTCCTGCTTTGAGAGATGTTTTTAATTTTTTTGCGTAAGAATAAATTTTCTCCGAAAATTGAAATATTTATGTTAAATATATTATTAAAATTTTATTTTAAATTTATAGGTCAGATGAAAGATTGTTGGTATCGGCGTATTTTACCCATTCAGGCACTATTTTAAAGTTGCTAACTTTATTAGGAGTTGCAAAAGATGATCAACATTTAACACACGATTTATTTTCGTTATATGCTGACGATAGAGCTTGGAGAACTGGGATTATTGATACTTTCGCATCTAATATTGCATTCATTTTATATAAGTAATTATTTACTTATATTTTATATATATAATTTAACTAATTATAATACTGTATTAATTATATATAATATTGTAATTTTTTTATTTTAGTTGTTCTGGAATTTCCAGTGTTCTTTTTATGCATCAGGAAAGACCATTATATTTACCAGGATGTCCTATAAATATACCATGTTCATTGTCCACTATGAAAGCACTTTATCCTGACCAAGAAGAGGAGTGTCAATTTGAAAAGATGTGTTCAATGAAGGAATCATCATAAAATAATGCAGAATTACGAGTTTAATTTTAAAAATTATATTATTACATGTTTTTATAGTTCATTATATTGAAACAAAATAAAATGAGTGAATTGTTTTTTTATTTTACAAAAAAATTAATTCATTACATTTTATGAAATTGTATTTTTATTTGTTTATATTCATTATTGTCTTGTTAGAAAATCTTATAATTGTTTTCTTCAAAAACTTGATAAATCCAAATCGAAATTTTAACGAATTATTAAATGAAAATCGTAATCAAAGAGAATTAAAACTTGTAAAATTAGCGCCACTTTTGAACATCTTTGAGATTAAAATAATGTAAGATAAGCAAATAGTAAGAAAAAAAATAGAGACTAATAGCGCTATCTATTGAGTGATATAGATATCACTTTAATCAGATATCTTTTTAAAAATAGGATAAAGTAGAGTAAGAATTGAGGATTAGCGCCATCTTTTGAATGCTTTTGGTAAGAAATGTCTATTTTATACTCAAAAGATGGCGTTGATTTTCAATTCTTATTCTATTTTTATCCTTTTTTTATTATTTTCTCTTTTCCTTCATTAGTTTCATTTACGACACTCTGAAGATGGCGTTGATTTCCATATTTTTATCTTATCTCTGTCCTCTTACCATCTATTATTATTATCTTTGTTTGACATCATAAAAATATTCGAATATCTCTTTGTTTATTCTACATCATATTTACAATATAATTTTTCTATTTCTTAAAATAAAAATTTCTTATTAGGGAGTATTTTATAATCAGTATCAATATAGTACAGATTCACATATTCGCTATATTGATTCGGGATAGCATGTAAAAATTAATTCAATCTATAATGACGTATTGATTACAATTGATTATGCAATGTAATATTATATTATAGATTTTATTTACATATATCATATAGTTGATAATTCTAATGAATTAATGATACTATCTATATTTGTTAGTATTCAATTTTAATTTTGATGTATGTAAATCGAATTATAATATTGAATTGATCGATGATCAATATATTATTGCACCATATATTAATTTATCAAATTTAATTACGTCTATCGATATTCATCTGAATGTATGTGTATATATATATATATATATCGTTACTTTCGAAATTCAAGTTTTCGAAATTTTTTTTCGCAGTATTGGTATATCAATCGAATAAAATATACAATAAATAATAGAGAACGAGTAAAAATCTTACACGCAGATTCTCAATATTTCACGAAATAATTATTCGGCAATTCGACAGTTTTATTGCCCGATAACAGGATAATATCCTTCCACTTCGGATGCCCGCCCTTATCGTGTCTCGGGCATCGAATCGTGGCACGAATCGTACGCGAGTATAAATCTGACAGTCGTAGGAATCTATGAACAAAAGTGGAGCCACTTACATGCGCGTAAAGTCAAATTTATGGAGGGTGTGGGCATATAAATGCGCGACGTGCCATAAATTTAAATGTTGGACATGGTCGGAGCGAGATGGTGGAACTGGAGAAGAGAGAATGAGAAAGAGAAAGAGAGAGAGAAAGAGAGACGAAAGGAGAGATTTCAGAGTTCTCAAAGGTACTAACGATATTGTTTGGGGCATTCGTGGATTCACACGCGGTGCATCCTCCTCAAATTCTCGAGAGGGAACAACAATTTATTTTGACGAAAATACCCTAAGGGTTAGTCGCAAATCATAGATGGAGCGTTTGCCATTGAATTTCTTTGTATATACGTTAAAATACCTTCATTTATATTTGCAACTTTGTTTTTTTCTATTTCTTTTGACGAAAAAATTAGGAAGAAATGGATATATATTATAATCTTTTCGATACTTTCTTCCATTGGATACTGTGCCACTTTTTTATTCGATCTTGTTTGTATCAATTTACGAATTTACGCCACGTTCTAATTGATAATAAGTGTAAAGACAAGATGATATGATATCGGTCAATTGTTATACTGTCCATATATAAAATTGATATTTCTCCAAAAATCAATAATCCAACGAAATTATAATATTTTTCTTGGTTTCCTTGGATTATATATAATAATTCGCGTCACTGCGTCTAAATTCAATTTACCTCTGGCCAGGCGTTGCCTCGTTAACCGGATGCTCTCTGTCTTGGGATTAGCGTTTTTCCGGTGTTATAAGTAACCGGCGCCGATCGGGTTTCATGGAGAAACGGAAGTCGGTTGTAAGAGGATACTGGAAGTTGGAATTATCTCGTTGCTCTTGATCCTTTTTTCTTCCTTTATTTCCTTGGATAATATTCCTATGCTGTTGGACATTGTTATATAT